CGTCAATAGAAAGTGTCATAATCATAACCAAACAAGCATCTTGCTAGGACTAATTAATTACACAAAATTCATTCCTAGCAATTACATTATTATTTTCAGAGCTTTGCATTTTCATTTAGCTTACATTTAGTTTCGCATCAGTCGCCAATCACTTTTCTATACCTATTTATTAAATTCAGGTCAAATGTACACTCAACTGTATGGGAAATAGTTGTACCGGTTCTAGGCATGCACTTTTCATTTCTCCTCATTGGATGCAACACATAATAGACAAAGAAAATGAGAAAATTACTCTTACGCAGCACCCGGACCTGGTTCCATTTTTTTGCCGGTCTGGATATGTGCCGGGTGTGCAAATAATTTGTTTTAAATTTGACACCCCCCCCCCCCCCCCGACTTCCCAAGTAATTATAATAGAAAAAGAAAATGAGAAAATTACTCTTACGCAGGCCCCGGACCTGGTTCCATTTTTTTGCCGGTCTGGATATGTGCCGGGTGTGCAAATAATTTGTTTTAAATTTGACACCCCCCCCCCCCCTCGACTTCCCAAGTAATTTAATTATGTCTCGGGTTAAATATGCCCCACACTTCCTAACAAATACCTTAAAGATGCCCCAGACCACCTGGCAAGTTTTTAAACGTGCCACTGGACTTCCTGGCAAGTACTTGCTTTAGATTTGTCGCTTTTCAAGTGTTTTGCAATCGGAAGTTTGTCTGTGGTGTGTGTGTGGGGGGGGGGGGTGAGATTGCGGAAATGAAATAAAGTTTAACAAAGTTTAACCCTTCTTAAGATGGTCAGCTGGGGGGCCGTCCACAAAGTACGTCCTGCCCACAAGGGGATGAAAGGGTTTAGAAACGATCACTCACGAACGTCTCAGGACTATCTCCATAATCAGCTCTCTCTCTCTCTCCCCTCCACTCTCTCTATCTACTCCTCTCTCTGTCCCCTAATATCTCTATCTCCTCCACTCTCTATCTTCTCCACTCTCTCTATGTCACACCTTATCTTCACACACTTGTATATTCTTCTATTCCTGTCATCCAATGATCATCCAGACACAATAACAACACTCATGACACAACTCACGAACCCTAACAGCGTTCATACTAACTACAGTGGTGCTCATACCCTTGACACTATACTACTGACCTGATACCATGCATGTGTAACTCAAAGTGGAGAGGAAATTATAGGTATCCAGGTGTCAAGAGATGTGGACATTTTGATAACTAATGATTATGTAATGTAAACATTTTCTTTGGCCATTCTCTCGCTAAAGACTAAAATCACTCAAAAATAAATTTTAAAATAAAGTATTTATTAATTGGGAGTTGGAATTGTCAGAAAGAGAGGAGTTTTACAGTATTTATTGCAAGTTGAGAGTTGTTCAAAACCAGAGTGACTCATAGCAATTATTGAAGTGTCTTTGAAAGGGACATCACTCTACTAGAGGAATCAATAAGTTTCATGTGTAACGCCAAGAGACCTTGGATGGGATGCCCTGAAATAATGTCATGCTTTTCTTCCCATGTGTCAAATTGATCGAATTAAGCATAAATAAGAGGATTGTGGGTTGGGGGAATTGGGGAAAAAAATGAACACAGGGGCTGGGTTAAAGTTTTAAAAAATTAGGCAAATTCAAATACGTTGTAAGAATGAACAAATTATAAAAATGATTAATTCAACCTGGAATCATTAAAAAAAAGTCTGAGCATACATTTTTTTAAAATATGCTAGGGTCAAAGACATTCTTTTTTATACCAACTTGGGTCTTAGGGCAATATTTTTAGTGGAATATGTACATGGGATGGATATATATAATATATTTAAAAAAATAATAAAAATTAAATGTTAACACAGCTATACATACTTAAATATGTATTTGTTCTCGAATATGCATAGAAAATATCTTGTCAGTATTCAATTTTAGGGGTAAGAAATATATATATAAATTATATGTGAATATAAATTGGGTGTTGAAATTGTCAAAACGAGGAGTTTTACACTATTTATTGAAAGTTATATGAAATATACATATATAAAATATACAAAAGCTTAAAAATGCAAAAACTGGTGGTTCTCCAGTCAAATGAAATGTATCAGAAACCCATTAAGGAGTTTAAATTTTTCTCAATGTAATTATTTTATGGATATGCCACCGAATAATGTAGAGTCCGGGAGTTGGTTGAGTTTTTTCATTAAATATGGACCTATTTTATTCCCAGATTTGCTACCCAAGAGAAGGATGGTCTCCTGTTATACAATGGTAGATTCAACGGTGAGCATGACTTCATTGCTCTGGAGATCATTAACTCTCAGATACAGTTCTCATTCTGTTTGGGCTCCAACACTACCAACACTGTCAAAACCAATGTCAAAGGAGGAGTCAGCAAAGTGGAATATGTCTCGAGGGTATTCAATCTTTTTTAAAATATTTCACCATCAAAATTGTAAGGTTTACAGTTTTTGTTAAAATTTAAAGAGTTCTTTTTAATTTTAAAACTCATTTTAATATATATATATATATATATATATATATATATATATATATATATATATACACAAGATAAATTTCTGAACAAAAGATGAATAGAGAATAAAATACTTTCAATTCAAAATGTTTTCATACTTAACACTGAAAGCTACCATGTTTCCTAACTCTAGAAAATGCTATCAGGTATTATTATTTTGAACTATAACTGAATAATCTTCTTAATGTGGATGCATCAATAATTGCTCTCCAGATTTTAAAGTTGGAAGAGAATTTTCCTATGGACTGTTGTTATGAGAGTTGACGTGAATGATCTATATCCCATTTGATTTTTTTAACATTCCAGGTTGCCACCATCTCTGTTGGAGAAGATTGTGATCCAGAGATTGCCATTAATTTTTTGGATAGGCTTGGTCCTTACTTATGTGCTGTCAGAATAAAACAAGAACTCTCTGATGTGTAAGTTACCCATCATGGTTTTACAAAATGTAAGATTGGAAGATGAGTATAACACTGATATGATACAATGGAGACAGAATAAAAGGAGCCATAATAAAACATCACAATCTGCATTGGGAAGGTCAAGCCATCTCTTCCTTTCTGTGGTCAAAATATTTGAGGTTTATCGGAAATTCCTTTGCACACAAACTAACTAAAGTAACATTTTTTCTGTTTGTTCTCTTCATTTTTTTCTCATTTCTTAAACATACATTTTCTCGACTGATCAAAAGTTACTTGGAAAGCACAATGTAAATGTAAATAAAAAATATATAATTTGGTTTTGTTAAAATATTTTTTTTCACAAATAAAACTTACACTTCAATGTCCCTAGCAACAGTAAACATACAGACTGAACACAGGTGCAGCACATCTTTCATTAGTTGCTTCTTTTAAGACTGGTCTGGAGTTGTTGATCTCACAAGAAACTTGATGTTGTATTTGGCATTCTCCTTGTGTGTTTGTGTTGGTATGTTGTATTTGGCATTCTCCTTGTGTGTTTGTGTTGGTATGTTGTATTTGGCATTCTCCTTGTGTGTTTGTGTTGGTATGTTGTATTTGGCATTCTCCTTGTGTGTTTGTGTTGGTATGTGCACACCATTGAACAGGATGAGATAAGGCAGGCCACTAACAACTCAGATTGTCATAAGTCTTTACTGGAACTTTTGTTTAAAGTGAATTTTATGCCATGAATGATAAGAAATTTTCAGTTTAATAGATAACATTGGTGTACATAGATTACATTGGTGTACATAGATTGCATTGGTGTACATAGATTGAATCGGTGTACATATGTCTTGTGACATTTTAACATTTGTAAATTTTGAATGCACTGAAAATTTGTTTAATTGCTAGAATTTGTAAAGCTACCACACTACATCTTATTATTCAAGCAAAATTTTTAAAGCTACCTCACTACGTCTTATTTTTCACTATTCAAGCAGAATTTGTGAAGCTACCTCACTACATCTTATTTTTCACTATTCAAGCAGAATTTGTAAAGCTACCTCACTACATCTTATTTTTCACTATTCAAGCAGAATTTGTGCTTGAGTAAAATCATGGCATCATTTTATATTTTATTGTCTGGATTAATGTAAAAATCTTGGATACAGGTTCATGTGACAGTAGACAACAAGTAGTCCAAATAACTAAGAGTAAAATGTCTTCATCAGGGAAGGTGTCAGGCTGAGAACAATACTCTAAAAAAAACAAACAAACGGAACAGTCCCTTTGCATGTCATAAACAATTCAATAATGGAGAATATTGTTTAAGATTAATGTATCTTTAGATAGATTTACCCTTTAAGTTTGATTCTCAAAGAATTAAATAAATGAAATGTACTGTTAGCAAAGAAATCATGACATATCACTTTGTGCAGGTGTGACAATCCCATAAAGGACTGCAACCGTCTGCTGGACCTCACTGGCCCCTTGCAAATCGGTGGCATGCCTGTGATGCCCAGTAGTGGACAAGTGAGCACCCAGGACTTTATAGGTTGTATCTCTGACCTGTACATTGACCACAAGCTGGTAGACTTGGCCTCATCCATTGCTGATTTCTCTACCAGTGTTGGCTGTGAGCCTAAAGAACCAAGATGTGTTACATCGCCTTGCAAATATGGAGGTAAACATGACCAAGATTCTGCCTGTGTATAGTGTAAACAATCCTGTCTTATTGGTAGCTTCAATTTATTGAATCAATAATTATCGTAGGCTCAAACTTAAATATAAAATTCTCTTACATTTAACATTAATTCGCACATTTGAAAAAAAAAAAATTATTAATGAGATTTTAATTTTCAGGAAAGTGTCGTGAAGGTTGGAATACATTCTTGTGTGATTGTCCAGAAAGGACTGGAGGGAAAGACTGTAGTCAGAGTAAGTAGGAACAATTAGTTCTTGTTTGAAGATAAACTGCTTATGTTGACCTTGGTTAATTTTTATTACTCCATTTACCCTCAAATATTTTCCCCAGCTATCGACATGTCACATAAGCTAAAAGGTGATGTCTACATGACATTCAACAATCCAAGTGTCATCCGTTATCCTTGGTTCAATGGAGTTGCCTTTAGAACAAGGAATGCTAATGGCGTCATCATGCAGATCTTGCTTAATTCAGGAGATGTCACCATTCAGGTCAGTCACATGTCACCATTCAGTTCAGTCACCATTCATATCAGTCAAATCACCATTCAGTTCAGTCACCATTCAGATCAGTCACATCAACATTCAGTTCAGTCACTATTCAGGTCAGTCACATGTCACCATTCAGGTCAGTCACATGTCACCATTCAGGTCAGTCACATGTCACCATTCAGGTCAGTCACATCACCATTCAGTTCAGCCACCATTCAGGTCAGTCACATGTCACCATTCAGTTCAGTCACCATTCAGGTCAGTCACATCACCATTCAGTTCAGTCACCATTCAGGTCAGTCACATGTCACCATTCAGGTCAGTCACACGTCACCATTCAGGTCAGTCACATGTCACAATTTTGGTTAGTCACATTTCATAAGGATACTTAAACATTATTACTAATGACAAACAGAAATATTTTTTCCTGTTGTTCTTTCAAAAACTTCTATGGCACTGTTGCATACAATTTTTAAAAATCTATACATGAGATCTTGTTGTAACAACAAAAACTTTAAGTGCTAACATCCTTTGACTAATTCGGGATTAAATAATTTCTTAACAATGTTTAAAAATTATACAAATATGTAATTAAGTTTTTTTTCCCTCATAGACATTGAATTGTAATACCCATTAGTTATTAAAAGTCATCAGAGCTATAATTGATGATTTCAGATTGTTGATGGTATTATACGATAGAGCTACTTGACTATTGTCCTTATACTGGACAAAGTTCGTGTGGATGATGGACAGTGGCACTATTATGAAGTCAGGTGGTTTGAAAAAGGTGCCATTGACTTGTTCTTGGATTACGAACAGTATAAGTGGGTGAGTTTAAAAAACTAAGTGTAGTGAAAACATGAGATATTTCCATAACAGTATAAGTGGGTGAGTTTAAAACTTAGTGTAGTGAAAACATGAGATATTTCCATAAATAGTAAGTTTTAACGCTATGTGTTGGAAAAAAAAAAGAGACATATTCATGACCTGCTTAGTTTACAAGTTAGTTTACAACCAAATAAAAAAATGAACAAATTTTTGTACATAAATGAACATATTTTTGTACAAAGAAGCATAGTTTGGAAGTATCTTTCCATTAATATTTGTAAGCATCTATCTTTACTAAAGTTTGCTGATTGAAAGTAATTTGTTTATAAAAAACAGTTTGAATTGAACATAGACTAGATATTGATTGAACCTTGTACCAGACCAGGAGGGACTTCATGGATTATTTTTAATTTTCTGAAAATTAAATTGTTTGTAGGTATATTTTTTTTAAATCGCTCGTCTTGTTTGTGGAGCAAATCATCGGAAGCAAACAGCATAGTTAAAATGGCTGTTGTGAAACAATTTCAGAAATTTCAAAATGTCACAACTTCAATTATGGGTAAAGATGTCACTCTGATATACGTGGGAGCGTCCAGAGACGGCAACAAACCGATGGCCAATTTCTTGACTGGATGTTTTAAGGTAGGACGTCTTGGTGGACTTGCCGTTAATGATTGAGTCTCTCATGCGGTGCTTGTGGCTTGTATTTTTACAAGGAGTGGGTTTGTCTTGTTTGTTTTTTACTATTTATAGAAGCTCTTTATTTTTGTAATGTAGTGTCAATGAATGGAATCTAAGATGATCTGTGCATGTATGGATATAAAAGGATAGCTGCAAAGTTATTTTTTAAATTTCATTTTGCTAGATATTAAAGGAAGCATATGTATATATATGTTCAAATTTGATGAACGCTAAAGAAGGGACCTTATATATATATATAATATAGGAAGCTAACACAAATGCATGTAACTGCATATTGTAACATACATATGTCGATGTTTCATTTAGGGTATTAAAAAAAAAACACCTGCATTTTAGTACTAAGTAGAAATTTCAGTACTTCGTAGCTGGTATGATGGTGGTCTCAGGGTGGGCAACTCTGCGCAGTCTTTTCTCCAGAATCCTATAGAACCTACTGTTGACCAAGGCTGCACGGGGAGCCCTGTGTGTACTTCTAGTGTGTGTGGTGTTGGTCAGTGTGTTGATGAGTGGAACAATCACAGCTGTCTGTGCCCTGCAGGTCAGTCTAATGTGTGTGGAGTTGGTCAGTCTAATGTGTGAGGTGTTGATCAGTATCTTTACCCTCCAGGAACTTTGTGTACATGAGTTGCCTCCAGTCATCAAACATTGAGTCTATTGATCATACCTGTACTTGATATAGTATTATTGTGACTATACACTTGTATTTTTAGAAACTTTCATCTTTCAATTAAATTGACCAAACAAAATTGTATCGTATTCACAATACAAATACACAGCCTAAAATGCTTTAAATTTTCTCAGAAAGGTGAAAAGTTCAAACTTTTAGAAAAATGAGTCTTTTAATGTAGATAATATTTTTCAATATTTTAGGAAACACTGGCCCCCAGTGTCTGGAGATATGTACGAATTTCAACCCCTGTAAAAACTGGGCTGAATGCAAACAGCCATTGCAGGGACAAAACACATACACCTGCGAATGTGGTATGCGGCAAAGTGGGAAGTACTGTGAGAATCAGGCACCTGCGACCTGTCCGGCAGGCTGGTGGGGTAAACCCATCTGTGGACCTTGTAACTGTAAGGCGGATAAAGGATTTGGACAGACATGTAACAAAGACAATGGGACATGTGCCAGTAAGGTGAGATTAGGTGTGAATATCTGGGACATAAGCCTGTAAGGTGAGATTATGTTTGAATATCTGGGACATTTGCATGTAAGGTGAGATTAGGTTTGAATATCTGGGACATTTGCATGTAAGGTGAGATTAGTTGTGAATATCTGGGACATGTGCCTGTAAAGTGAGATTAGGTGTGAATATCCAAATATTAAGAATTTTAGTCAAGCCAAACTCTAATTTTCACCTGCCCTGTTAATGCATTTCTCTCTAAATTGTTCATGTTTTTTATTCCCAGACACTGCATTACCTACTTCCCAACAGTGATACCTGCTATCCACGTGACTGCTATAAGCTGGGCTCTAAGGACATGACTTGTAACCCGGCAACAGGTCAATGCAACTGTTATGAAGGGGTCATAGGTCGCCTGTGTGACACGTGTGACAGCATATTTGCTGCTGTGGTCAAGACTACCAAGAAAGTCAATGACACGGCCTACCAGGATGTGGTGACTTGTGTTGGTGAGTTCATACATTTTTAGTTATATACAATTGTTATGTGACAGCATATTTGCTGCTGTGGTCAAGACTACCAAGAAAGTCAATGACACGGCCTACCAGGATGTGGTGACTTGTGTTGGTGAGTTCATACATTTTTAGTTATATACAATTGTTGCTGCATAATGTTATGTTATTGAGCGAAAGGGTTACGCCACTATATGAAATGTTATTGAGGTTGCGGGCTACACCATTAAATAGTGTATGTTAATTAGGGTACAGGCTATGCCAATAAATAATGTATGTTATTGAGGGTAAGGGTTACACCATTAAATAATGTATGCTATTGTGTGTCTATGATTGATGTAAAAATATATTAAATTGTTTTTAATTCTTAATGTACCAAACTAATGTTGAGTAATGCTATATGTCGATCTCAAATGTAGTCTTACACCTCCCTTAGATTATGAAATAAACTAAACATTATGTATTAATGTGCACTGAAGAGGTTAAAATAGTTTTTTGGTTTGTGTGATGTTTGATATGCTTACATTTCTTTTTTCATGAACAGTTTTTTATGAAGAGTGTCCTAGAAATTATGCAGGAGGAATATGGTGGGACCAGATCAGGTTTAATTTGGAAGCCCAACAAGACTGTCCAGAAGGGGCCACTGGTCAGTCAATAAATAGCTGATCATTATAACTTGTTTTAAGTTTTTTTCCTTTCATTTAACTGAACCAAGCTCAGTTTGACATGATCAAGTTTGACATAATAACATAAACTTTTCTTTTAACTGTTGTGCTTTTTTAATAAATAGCTGATCATTATAACTTGTTTTAAGTTTTTTTCCTTTCATTTAACTGAACCAAGCTCAGTTTGACATGATCAAGTTTGACATAATAACATAAACTTTTCTTTTAACTGTTGTGCTTTTTTTAATAAAGTTTGAAAACTTAACAAATGTTTACATTTGATAAATGATTTATTGTCCAAAAAAGCTTAAATATTTATTCAAAAAAAAAAAAAAGTGGAAGACACTTTGGAAATTACTTTAAGCTTTACCTACACAAGTTGACAATATTCAAATTGTACAATGACCCCCTTAAAACTTATCAATTAATTTTTGGGGAGGATTGTATCTATAGATCTAATCCTTTGGACGCCTGTAGTTTATAAAATATTGATAGCAATCATCAAGACTCAAAGCCAAAAACAGCAAAACTTTGTTTCTGTCTTACACAGGCACGGCCAAAAGAAAATGTACAGAGAAGCAAAGCTGGGCAGAGCCTGACTTGTTCAGTTGTACAAGTAACAGTTACTTATAACTTAATGAAACAGTAAGTACAAGTAACAGTTATTTAAAGCTTAATGAAACAGTATGTACAAGAAATTGTTGTGCAAGTAACAGTTACTTACAGTTTAATAACACTAAGTACAAGTAATAGTTGAAAATGTAACAGTTACTTACAAGTTAATGAAATAATAAACACATGTAATACATTTTGACATATTGTTATCAGAATTGTGAGTTTGTGAGAGTCATGATTGTTGAATTTCTTTCATTTTTAGTGATGAAAATAAAAAAAGTATTCTCTGTCTTGACAGGTGAAAGATTTTGAGTCAGGTAAAATCAACCCATACATTGCAGACTACACCCTCACTCTACTCAAGAATGTTTCATACACAACAACCCCCATCTATGGTGGGGACATCATGATGGTCTACCGTTTCACTAACGTCACACTCAGCTATGAGATCTCTCAGACAGGACTCAGCCTGATCAGTCAGCAGTATAGTGACTTTGTTCAGGTAAGGATGCCTCTATGACATTTGAAATTCTTGATATTCATTTCTTCTCTTTTGTTTGAACAACTAAAACGTGCTTAGATTTCAGCATGTTCAATTTTAATTATTGAAACTCAGATTGCTTACTGAAAACTTGGAAAAAAAATCTTGAAAAATTATACTAAAAATATCCTTTCAAAAATGCTTTAAAATGTGTTGTACCACTTCACTTAGATAATGGCATGTGTTGTATCACTTCACTTAGATAATGGCATGTATACTGTACCACTTTTGCTGTAGGTCTTGACATCTGATTAAAGTCTTTATTGTCTAGGAATAAATGGCTGTACACATGGAATGTGCAAGAATTTGTATGCATCGCTTGTAATCAATATTCATTGCTGAGTATAATTTCATGGTTTCCATATTTTAATTTAATTTCAATCTACTTAAAAATCTTGAACCTTCTTTAATTAAAATTCATTTTTCTCTGTCAGAAACTTTTGGTAGTGCTGCGTAACGTGGCAGATGAAAAGTACTCTCGCTACTGGCAGCAGGTTGGCAAGCTGACAGGAGGCGCCACTCATCTTATGAATTTGTTTGAGAAATTTGTGGCCAAGACTGTGGAACTGTTACCCCAAGCCCAGTGAGGAACATTTGAAGCTGTGTCTGATGATATGGGTAAGATCATGTGCATCTTTTTCAATCATTTTAACCTTCTATAGGCAGCAAAGTTTATGTCATTATATTTTTTAAAGTGATAAATTTGAAACACCGTTAGCTGCAGATAGAAAATATGTAATTTAAAACTTTTGTTTTTAAAAAATTACAAATACTGAGCAACCCTAGGAAAATTAAAATTGATCATTATTCACCAAATCTCTGATTTATTTATCATTTCAGTTCTTGGAGCTGATTGGTTGAATCTGCACAATTTTAGTGGGGCAACAATACCCAAATATGACAACAATGTGAAAAAGGGCTCAATAGACAAGGAGGCTTCAGTGACATTTCCACCAAGTTTGTTCTCACTTCCTGTTACAAGTAAGTAATTTATAACTTGATGTGAGTCACCCCGTTCTCCACCCCCTGCTAGAGGTATCCAGAAGCCTACTTTGGTTATATAATATAATAATTATATGACTCTATTGTTCCAGGTGTTGGGCATGCCTCAAGCTTGGAGGTATCCAAAGCCTACTTTGGTTATGTAGTGTACAGAGACCTTGGCAAACATGTCAGCATGAACACAGATGACACCATACGGTAGTTTAAACTTTGATATATTTTACTTTCGTTATCAGGATTTTTACAAATAAATTCTACGTTTATTTGTCACATAATGTGCTACCACCGTAAAACTTTGATGGTGAAACTAGTAATATTTTGTAATGGGATTAGTCTTGCTACATTAAGGTGACTGACAAAGTCCCCCTCAAACAATGGCACAACCTTTTGATCCATTCTTTTTTAAGTAATCAAATATTTTCATTATCTATAATTAATGCATTGTTGTTCTTGAAAGTTGAAATCACTTTTAAATTGAGATGAACTCTTGCCAATGTTTCTAAAAGTTAACCTAAGTGAGAGGCTGCAAGCAGCTCAAGACTTTTAAGTTAATATAAAATGACAACTTGCAGTGTAGTTTCTTTTTTTCTTCAAAAATATACTGACATATGAAGAATCTCTGTGAGATATCTGTGAATGTTTTTCAAATCCTAACATTTTCTTTAACAAATTATTAATTTATTGGGGATTGAAATGATGTGATTGTGTAATTCATTGTCAGTATTATCTTTGTCAGTCGCACAGGCAGACCCATGACAGTAAATGGCCCGATCTTCTCATTGGTTGTTGCTGACAAGGAGAACATAACCCGTGGCTATATTGCTGATCCCGTCATTCTGACCTTGAGACTTCGACTGCCCAATAATAGGACCAACATGTATTGTGCTCGATGGGCCCCTAGTGCATCAGATGAAACGTAAGAAAACTTGTTAATCCACTGAACCCCAAACCCCAGTTGTACTGATGAGACCCTGTAATGGCCAGAACAGCCCACTGGACTTCTCTTTACAAGTTGTCTATAAAAAATGAAAATCTTATGAGAAATGAGACCAAGGGAGATTACTTAGTTTTTTTTTGGTGTTGTTTTTATAGATTGGCAGAGTGTTTATTATTTTAATAGCAGATTTATTTATTTTCTATTTTGATTCATGAGATTGTGAACGAAAATTAATTTATGTCATAGATGCAAAATTGATCTATTTTAAAATAAATTCTAAATATATTTATAGTATAGGTGGAATTATTCCCGTTTATCTGGGGTTTCAAATCTAAAATATTCTGAGCGCCCAAAATTGCATGGGTTAGATCTAAGTACCAAGTGAGCTTCCTAGTACATCTGTCAGATGAAATTTAAGACTTGCTCTAAATTTAAGTGACACAAACTATTCCGTTACATTCATATTCTGGCTGACCAAAAAATATATTATATTAAATTATTCCTAAATCTGTGTCTAGCATAAGTAAATGTAGATATATACAACCTGACTTTTATGTTAAAACATCAGACATAATAATATATTTGGAGGAAATATGTTCTAATTTTGTTTTTTTTCATTCTAAGATACTTAACAAAAACATAAGTCGGCAAAGAAACTTAAGTGGCTCAAAATGTTTTAGCATGTCTGTTTTACTTCTTTGATGGCTTTGTAAATGTGTTTATCCTACAAGGTCTTAAGGTACGTTCTAACAGCAGATTTGTAACAGCCACAAATATGACACAGACATTCCATGTGGGTATTCTCACTGAGCAGGCACAACTGTAACATCTGATGTGGAACTTTTGATACAATTTTAATATGTTCGCTACTATCAGCAACCTGCGGCTGTATGAGTCTCTTTAAATGAATGAATTCTGATTTTTTTCTTTTTCTTTAAAATATGAATTTTACCAGTAGCAACATACATTTTAAAAATTTTTTTAATTAACTCCATATTTTTTAAACAGGACATTTTTCCTCTAAGGTCTTCCTTCTCTTGTCTGGCCCACTCCAATAAAATCAAACATGTCATTTATTTCACAAATTTTAATATTCGGACTATAAAATACGGCTATCATCAAATACAGCTAATAATTAGAATTTGTTAACAAGTCAGCTTATGTTAAATTCATCAAGTTAGTTTTGTGACCACTCCATTTTCCACCAGGTGCTATGCTACTAACCTGTCAGCTGATAATGCATGAGCATTGATCAAAATATGACGGGATTGTTTTTGTTAATTGCCGGCCAACAGTTAATATACTGCAACACTCGACAAACCCGTCAGAATGACATTTGGTAGGTCTGTTTTCGTTGCAACAAGTAGCATGTGATCACAGAAAATTGAGAATCCAAGTTACAAAAAGTAACAAATCTGCAGTGTGAAAGTACCTTTAAATGTGTCTATAATTTCCCTTCTCCAGTTCTGGGACATGGACTGCGGCAGGTTGTAGGGTGAGAAACACAAGTTGTCGAATCACCGTCACCTCTGAACACTGTGAGGAATTTTATGTTACCTGTGAATGTAACCACCTGTCAGCCTATGCTGTCATCATTGATATAGCTGATGGAACGGTAAGATTTGTTACATTAACTGTCAAAAATGTCTTGTAACATTAATGAACATCCATGAAAAAAAAAAATGCTAAAAAAACAAACAAAATAAACAGGGAAGAATTGAATCCTTGAGGAATAAAACACATGTCAAAAGGGAGGCAATGCTACTTTTGATAATTTTAATCAGGAATAATAAAAAAAAAGTATATCTAAACATTTTCTAAATACATGTGCTCACAAAGGGCAACTATTTAAAAAAAAATTGATTTTATCAAAAGGAATCATTTCCTTTGCAGACACTGTGTACACACATTTGGTAGTGATATCTTGTGGGCACAACGTATGTACAAACATGTGGTATTCATAATGTTATATATTCCTGTAGGCCTTACTTCCTGCTATCATTGATATGGAGGCTGTGACCTATGTGCTGACCACTTTGTCATTGATGCTGCTGTTGCTCTCATTCTTTGTCCTCTTCACAGTCAAACGTCTGCAATGTAACTGGAACAGCATTCGCATCAACCTCATCTTCACCATCTTCATTGTAGACTTGGCTTATGTGATTGGAATCAATAAAACATCTCCAGAGGTAAGTTTTCACCTGCCGACCGTATCGTCTAAAGTTATAAAACATTTACTTAATATGAGTCCAGTCGTAGGAGTTCTGCTGCACTGAGTTGTTCATTATAAACTATTCCATCTCCTTCCAAATGGAAAACTTTAACTTTATCTAAAACCCTTTTTACCTTTAAAAATATGTCCATAAATTATCAAATGACAAGAACTCTCCCATACCATGACATTAAGTTGACCGTTGATGACCTTATCTGTGTGTGTCCACCTATTCTGCAGGCTGATTGCCATAGCCCTGCACTACTTCTACATGGCTTGCTTTGCCTGGCTGTTCATAGAGATGCTGCACATCTATCGCATGCTCACAGAGAAACAAGCCATCAACTACGGATCTATGAAGTTCTACTACTTGCTGGGCTACGGTAGGTTATTTACTGCTGACTTCTATCACCATCGGTCTTGGATAAGTTTGATTGATTTATTACTTAAGTAATCAGTCAAGCCAAAATGTTGTTGATTTTTCTATTAATTGGATTCTGAGATCACAAAAAAATATTACCCCCACTGAGATGCTAAATGGCTTGGAACGCTCCATTTTGCATGTTATAGAAATAATTGTAACTTTCCACATTTCAGGTTTCATTTGGGGGTGTTCTGACAATTGGTATTCTACACTAATTAAAGTATTCATTATTTTTGTAGCAGGTATTATGATATTATGTAATCTGATGTCCATGTTGGTACCAGATTCTGAAAGTAATTTAATCCCTTGTTCAACTGTTTCCTGTTCCAGTTGTTGGCTTGTTACCTCAGAGACATTTATATGGAGCTTTGCTGGACCAATAGCCTTTGTCATAGTGGTGAGTTATCAGCTTGAGTACACTCTGTCTTAAAGACCACATTTACAAGACATCAAACCAATAAACTTTAAATAAAATAACTTTACATGACATTATACATTTTTCTGTTTATTTATTCCACAGATCTATAATTTGGAACAAATAAATTGATAGACTTGACCATAAATTAAACCAACATTTAGCTGGGATAACAATTTATGTATTTTTCTCCAGATCAATGTATTCACATTTATATTTGCTGCAAAGGCAAGTTGTGCAGAGAAGATTCCAATCTCAGATGTTACTGTTGTAAGGTTGGTATTGGCAGTGTTTAAACTATTTAGTTCGCTATTCACAAATGGGCGGACCATTCTCAAACAGGAGATCGAGCTCAAGGTGGGCGATGTAGCGCTCAAGTGGGACAAGCAACCGGTTTACCTGGGAGTTAAATTGGACCAAAAGGTGCAAATGCATAATTTTGTACAGGACCTCTGCTCCCAGTCAACCGCCAAGCTCAACCTGGTGAAAAAACTGGCTGCACAAGTTGGGGCGCGGGCGCAAGTACGCTTAGAGCTCTTTTCCTAAGCAGTGTAAGGTCAGTGATGGATTACAGCATGCCGGTCCAATCCTTTGCAAGCAAGACCGCACTGGAAAAACTGGGCCGAATCCAGAATCAGGCTCTGAGATTCATCTGTGGCGCTTACAGGACTACTCCCACAGCTGCTGTAGAGGTCTTGGCCAATGTAGAACCGTTACAAATTAGGAGGGAAAAGTCAATATGAGTACCGTAGAGAGGTACCGGCGGCTCGACGAAAACGAACCAGCCTTCCAAATGCAGAATAACTGGGCGGGCGGAAGGAGACTAAAGAGGTCCTCTTTCATGCACCAGGTCGTGGAGCTGGAAAGGACAGTCACCTTGCCCCCAAATAGAGAACGTCTGACCTTAATCCCAGTTAATCCGCCATATGCGGAGCCCTCACGTACCTCTATATATTTGGCCTTGACTGATGCAGCAGTGACGAAACGCAGCCCTGAACATGTTCAGAAAGCGGCTGCCCTTGAGACCATGGATGTGTTCTCACACATACCAGTGAAAGTGTTCACGGACGGCTCTGCCAACCTGAGAGAAAGAACTGCTGGGTACGGTGCGCTCATACTGTATCCAGTGGGAGGACCACCCATTGAAGAACTCTCGGGGCCTTGTGAGACTGCAGCGTCAAATTTTGATGCGGAGCTTATAGCTATGCACATGGCCTTGGAGAAAGTCCACGACACTTTGAAAGGGACGGAACATGCGGGGCTTGATGTAGTTTACTCAGACTCAAGATCTGCTCTTGAGATCTTGGGGAAGAGACAGGGTACCACACACTTGGTCGACGTCATTACCAACGACATATGCAAACTTGGTGAACTAGGGTGCAAGATTACAATACAGTGGATACCAGGGCACGTCAACATCAGTGGCAATGAGAGAGCGGACACTCTGGCGAAAACCGAGGCTGCCCAGCCTCAGCCAGAAGTACCAATGACTTTCTTGGGAATTAAAAACTGGCTGGCGGATCACTTCAGGCAGAAGTGGTACAGGCAATGGGTTTTAGTTTTGATCCTTTATAATTCTAAGCGTGCTTGTCAATTTTAGTTTTGATCCTTTATAATTCTAAGCGTGCTTGTCAATTTTAGTTTTGATCCTTTATAATTCTAAGCGTGCTTGTCAATTTTAGTTTTGATCCTTTATAATTCTAAGCGTGCTTGTCAATTTTAGTTTTGATCCTTTATAATTCTAAGCGTGCTTGTCAATTTTAGTTTTGATCCTTTATAATTCTAAGCGTGCTTGTCAATTTTAGTTTTGATCCTTTATAATTCTAAGCGTGCTTGTCAATTTTAGTTTTGATCCTTTATAATTCTAAGCGTGCTTGTCAATTTTAGTTTTGATCCTTTATAATTCTAAGCGTGCTTGTCAATTTTAGTTTTGATCCTTTATAATTCTAAGCGTGCTTGTCAATTTTAGTTTTGATCCTTTATAATTCTAAGCGTGCTTGTCAATTTTAGTTTTGATCCTTTATAATTCTAAGCGTGCTTGTCAATTTTAGTTTTGATCCTTTATAATTCTAAGCGTGCTTGTCAATTTTAGTTTTGATCCTTTATAATTCTAAGCGTGCTTGTCAATTTTAGTTTTGATCCTTTATAATTCTAAGCGTGCTTGTCAATTTTAGTTTTGATCCTTTATAATTCTAAGCGTGCTTGTCAATTTTAGTTTTGATCCTTTATAATTCTAAGCGTGCTTGTCAATTTTAGTTTTGATCCTTTATAATTCTAAGCGTGCTTGTCAATTTTAGTTTTGATCCTTTATAATTCTAAGCGTGCTTGTCAATTTTAGTTTTGATCCTTTATAATTCTAAGCGTGCTTGTCAATTTTAGTTTTGATCCTTTATAATTCTAAGCGTGCTTGTCAATTTTAGTTTTGATCCTTTATAATTCTAAGCGTGCTTGTCAATTTTAGTTTTGATCCTTTATAATTCTAAGCGTGCTTGTCAATTTTAGTTTTGATCCTTTATAATTCTAAGCGTGCTTGTCAATTTTAGTTTTGATCCTTTATAATTCTAAGCGTGCTTGTCAATTTTAGTTTTGATCCTTTATAATTCTAAGCGTGCTTGTCAATTTTAGTTTTGATCCTTTATAATTCTAAGCGTGCTTGTCAATTTTAGTTTTGATCCTTTATAATTCTAAGCATGCTTGTCAATTTTAGTTTTGATCCTTTATAATTCTAAGCATGCTTGTCAATTTTAGTTTTGATCCTTTATAATTCTAAGCATGCTTGTCAATTTTAGTTTTGATCATCATGTATTTTTTTAAAGAAAGACAAAGTCAATAATGGCTGATAAATGGCTGATTTCCTCCAGGTATGGACTGCTGTCTGCCATTTTTCTTCTGTTCCTTTTAGTGTTATTTGGATCCTAGGACTACTCTCTGTAAACTTTGGAGTGCTGGCCCTTCACTACATACATGCCATTTGTATTGTCTTTGAGGGTTTTTTCATTTTCATAGTGTACATTCTCTTCGACAAAAAGGTGAGAGTTTAACCAATGACTTTATTGTAACCTTTTTAATGGAACCATCTCTGTAAATAAGTTAAGGAGGCCAGGTTGTGTGAGATACTCTTACTATGTTTAGCACTGCATGTCACACCATTATAGCAGTTGCTTAGTTTTCATCTGGACACATAGTCTGTGAATTACTGTTAATCAGAACTTATTATCTAAGCCAGTGGTCAGCAAAGTCATTAGTCAAAAGAGCAAAAAATCAGCAGCAGGATGATTAAACAATTTTTCAGGAGCCAAATTTCTTTTCAAGAACCATGTTTTTCAGAGTCAAACCAATGTGTTGCCGACTGACTAAGCCACAATCAGGTTGTTAAAGAGCCGCATCCGGCTCGTGTGCCGCGATTTGCCGACCACTGCGCTACTCTAAATAATTAAATGAAAAAATATCTTGTGTTCTTCATCTCTCCAACTTCCAGGTCCGTTTGTGTGCCAAGAGGTTCTATTATCGGCTCAAGGGGAAAAAGGTGGAATTTGATGAAAATTTGTCAGGAACAAGGAGCTCTCTGCCCCATTCAGTAGGTTTTCTCGTATAAATGTCCAGCTCTTTAATTATGCACTATTAGTTTAGACCTGTTTTGCTTAATTCTAGATTTAGTTTATTTGATGGTTTTGTTCAAACTAAAATGTCTCAGATGTGCTGGGATTTTTTTACTTTAGCTCTTTACTTACAATTATTAGGTGGTCCACCAAACATATTTTTGTGCTAGGACATAAAATACGGGGAGGCGGAGAGAACGTGGAGGTGGAGAGGGTGGTGGAGGTGGAGAGGACGGTGGAGAGGATGGTGGAGGTGGAGAGGACGGTGGAGGTGGAGAGGACTAGAAAGGCACTGAAATTTTCATAAATTTAGTTTTCGTCATCCTTCAACTATTTTTTTTTTCAGTTGTTCAATGATCTGTACTTATATGTACATTGAAGTTTTCCAAATAGCTATTGTCAATTTTTGTGTGTTATATTTCAGAGGTCAGCCCTGGCTTATAGACACGACTCATCTAAAGAAGGGGGTGTTCGCATCAATAACATAGGCATCTCTACCACATCCACCACTTCACAGTCCAGTAA